GCATGCCCATGCACCTAGCATGAGCCCCGGCGCCTGAGCCCGCCCAGCGTGGGAAAGCGGCCCGGCGGCGGGAAGGCCGGGAAGGGGAAGTTTGTGTTGGGAGCGAAGGATTTGCACTCTGGGGCCCCAAGGAGGGTGGGAAGAGAAACCAGGGAGAGGCCGAGAAACAGGAAATGGGAGAGAAGGAACGAGTTCACGCCAGGAAAAGCTGGGCGAGTGGCGGGTGCCTTATTACTAAAAACAAAGGCGGGGACTGCCGGGCGTGTCCTCTACCTCCCTCCACACTTCGTGAGCGAAGAGAACGGGAAAGGTGGTCCAGCCTGGGGGAGGAGTCCGCAGCTCATCTCTGTTCCTGACCACTTTTGGGCGGCCCAGAAAACGGCATGTGAGGAGGGTCTGTCCTGCCCTTAAAGGAGAGTTAAGTGTGTGAAAGTGTCCAAAGAAAATGTGAGCACTCCTCAAAAGTAGTCGCCTTAGACAGGAAAGCAACAAGAAAGGGAGGGAACCAAGAAAAGAGAAATGGGACCTGTAGGCTGAGGGGTCTGTCGTTGGGGTGGGTCTCTGTTTTGGGGGGAAGCAGCTGCGGCCCCACCCTCTGATCTGATCCTAGGCATAAGATGAACAGCCCTTCACCAAACCCTACTGCAGGGAGATAGGAAAAACAAGAAAAGACAAGTTGGAAAAACAACAGAATATCAACAATTGTGCAGTCTTTAAAGGAAAAACTTGCCTGTACTGGAATTCCCTGTAAAGTTTCCTTCTAGGTGGGGCAGGGAGTGAAGAAAGTGAGCTTAACTGTAAGGGTGGAAAGATGCTATAGAAATTATGTCATGGTGGCAGTCCTTGTAGCAACAGCTATTTCTCAGTGAGCTGAGTGGTGGACAGGCCATAAATATATTCTACAGCGGCTGCATCTGCACGTGGAAAGCAAGCTGCTCTCCCTACGGCAGCACACAGGCATGTTAATAGCAGATGAAAGACGGAAAATAAACTACGGGAATCCATTCCAGACGGATGAGGGCATTAGGGGTAGGCCAAGGTTAATACCTAAAGTCTGGAGGAGGGACGTGGAGTATTAGGAGGGAAATACTTGCTGCTTAAAAAGAAAATATTAACGGATAAGAATAGAAAGGCAGTTCCTAAGGTAGAAAAACAAAAATACAAGTTTAGAAGGAAGACTCGAGTGTGAGCTGGGCATGTGTGTGGAAGAGCAAAAAGAAGGAAGCTCTCATGGCCTAGCTGCCTTGCACAGGCACCAAGGCGTTGCTGACTATTGCTACCCTGGGGCATGGTAAGGGCTTCCCCTTTTGATTCCCAAGTAGGTCTGAAGGTCTGAACCCTATAGCTGTGCTTTTGATCCTTGCTGGCTTGAGGCTGGGACACTGAGTTCTGTCTGTCTGTCCCTCTCATGAAAGAAACTCCAAAAAAAAGCTAGATGTTATTGGGAGTAAGATCACTAAAAGCAAGTGTCTGTGCACGCAGCATATGTTTCTAATTCAGTTTATGTAATTCTCTGGGGACCAGCAGTTAGTGTAATGGCTATGTCGCTGGACTCCCATGCAGTCGCCCTAGTTTGAGTCACAGACCCAGTGGCTTAAAACTCATGCCGGGTGCGTGTGCGTGCATGCATGCCCAAGATCCTGAGAGGAGAAAAGATTGCAGCGTGGCCACACACACACACACACACACACACCCTGTGATTTCTCGCTTTCTGTCTTTCTGGTGAGCCCACATGCACTATAGCAAAAACCTCTCAAAAAAAGAAAAATTAAATCTCTGTATAGAATTTAAATTTAAGTCAAAAGCATAAAATAAAATAGGGGGTAGACAGAAAGGAAGAAGGTAGGGCAAAAATACCCATCTTCGTTAGTGTAGGCCTTTCTCCTGTCTGTTAGGAATGTGAAAAATTAGAAAATGTCAAGATGGCAAAATTATTTTACCACGAATGTGTGGAAAAAGACTATACAATCAAAATTTCAGGATTGAAAGTATCTTTCTAATCTGTTGGGTCAGAAATGTCATGACATATTTTTCTGTTTCCATGCAAAAATGAATTAGCTATTGATATCCAAAATATATAACTTTTTTTTTTTGGAGAGATTTTCACTGTAGGGCGTGTGCGCTCACCAGACAGATAGAGAGAGACATAGAGACAGAAAGCGAGAAATCATCCCCCAAGGGGGGATGGTCACGCCGCAATCCCTTCTCCTCCATTCTCCTCTCGGGATCTTGGGCACGCACGCACATGAGCCCGGCGTGAGTTTTAAGCCACCGGGTCCGGGACACGAACTGCGGTCGACTACGTGGGAGTCCAGTGACATAGCCATTACGCTAACTGCTGGTTCCCCAAAATATATAATTTTGAGTCTGTTTAGGAACACGATAATTGGGATCAAAGATGATGACCCCTTTCCCTTACTCTATGTACTTAATTTAGTCGTCATTATTGAAATAACAAAAAGAATTAATAAAGAAGATAAAGGTTGATATTCAGAGTTGCTTATACATGATACATGCATTGGATATCTTTTACCTGACACATTATCCAAGAAGGAAAAAGAGTACAACCCAAACACCCCCAAAACAGATCATACAACTAATCCAATATAAGTGATACAGCGAAACTTACAAGTAGAGATTCTAAGTTACTAATGTAAAAATAAATGTGACGTACCACAAATACTGTCAGCTCTTTTTGAGTTTTTGTTTGCTTGTATTTTGTTAATTGCCAGAGGGCACTTGAACTCACCAGAGACAGAGAAAAAGCACCTTCCAGGAGGACTTGGTCATACCACAATCCTCTTTCCTCCGTTTCTCCATTCCATCAAGATTTGGGGCACACACATAAGTCAGGGCTTCAAACAGTCGTCGGTGCTGTGGAGTCTTGGCTCCATACAGGACTTTACAGCTGCTGGGGGCCGACTCTATCAGATCTTATAGTTAGTGATACCCTATTCGAAAAAGTTGTGTCAGTGGTAGAAAAATGTGTTGCAATATTAAGAGTTTCACTGGTACCACACCCTGATTTTGCTAAGATAAAGGCAATCTTCAGTATCTATGTACATTTACAGTTCTTAAACCTTTGGAGCAATGAAACCAAAGATTGTATAATTCCACACTCACACAATTCTGGAGGGGTGCGGATGAGGAAAAATGGAAGTTCGTTTTCAAAAGTAAATGCTGTGTTAAAAGATTAGAAATTAAGGCTGGTTCGTGGCCTAGTGGTTAAGGGAGCAGGGTCCCACATGGCTGACCACAGGGTTGGAATCTTGGACCCAGCAGTGTGGAAAAATATACTGGGAATGTGTTTACGGAGGCTCAAAATCCTGAAAGGGTAGAGAAATGGAAGAGAGAGGATTGTGCATGACCACACCCCATTGCAAGGGAAGTGTGAGAGGCTCCTTCTTATTTCTGTCTCTGGCGATCCCATCATCAGACAAATTAAAA